TGGTTGACAGGAGGGGTCTTCTATGGATACGCACAACAAGCCGCCACACAGGAAGGTAGGAACCACACAAATGCCTTGATGGAAAAAGTGGTAGATAGGTTACTCATGGCCAAAGGAAAGCGATTCCTTGTGGGCCACTTGTGGGTGACTTTAACCAAGAATATGATGTGCTCGAACAGCCAAAGCGACTATATGACCAAGGATGGAGAGAGTGCCAAGTCCTCGGAAAAGAAAAATACGCCCGACCAATTTCAAAAACTTGCCACAAAACTACTACGAAAGACTTCATTTGGATTAGCCCGGAATTAATCCCTTTCTTCCATAAAGTAGAAACTTTTGATCAATTCCCAGATCACCTTACGCTCTTTGCTGAGTTCACAAACCTTGGTAAACCCCCTAAATCTTTTGTTTGGAGGCAGCCACGTGCCATTGACTGGTCAAAAGACATTGGCATTTTGCCAGAAACGTCCACCCATACCAATCCAGATGATTGCACGCAAAAGCAGCTTGAAGCCATTGCTAAAGGGTTTGAAGATGTCGTAAATGACAAAATGATCACTAAATCCCAAAAAGGGTTACAAACTTGCCAGCGGGGCAGATCCCTCACAACGCAGACGAAGGTCATTCAAGACCACACCAGGCCACTCCAACCCACCAGGCATGGCCATGTGAAGCCTGAATATCATGGTCAATGCCTCAGACACCAACAGTGGTATAAACAAATGCGAAGACTAGAATCCATCAAGCGCCTTATTCACAGCAATAATTTTGCTTCACAAAATCAGCAGATACATGCCCAACGTGAATGGAGAAGTATAATCACTAGCTCCGGTTTCCCATTCGGTTTCCAAAATTGGTGGAAAAAATGCCCAACCATGACTGCGGGTGCTCCCCGGGAACTGGGATGGCAGATACCCACCCTTCACGAAATTGACCAAATTGTTTCTATATTTGAAGCCAGCTTTAGGGACTTTGAAAAAATCCTCATCCGCGACCTGCAGAATACCGCAAGAGCCAATCGGGTCGCCAACCCAAATCGAATCTTTGCAGACATTAAATTGCCCACAGCTTCCCCAGTCGAAATATTAGATGACTCATGCAGCTGTGAAGTTTTGGACATAGACCTTGAAGATAACTCCATAACCCTGTCCAATAATCCCCAGTTTGATGATAGTCTACCAATCATCTCCCCAGATGGATTGATTGACCCCATAATCTGCTCCGATGACAAAATTTGGGCTGAAAAAGTTGACCATATTCAAATCGGAACCACCTTGCGTCAAGAAAAGTTTGTAGGAGACCTGGAGGAGCTCTTCCGGAGATTCGGTGATGAGTGGCGGAAACGTTGGGACCGACATGTGGAGATGCCAGTTGACTATTGGGATCCAGTTGTAGCACACTTCACTAAGAACACACCACGAGGAGAACCCATGCCACATACCAAAATCAGCCTGGACACCTGGTACAACACACTCAAAAAGAAAAAGAGCCGGTCCGCCGTCGGACCAGATGGGTGGTCCCGGCAGGACCTACTACACATGCCGAAGTACCAAACACAAGTACTTCTCGACCTCCTATACGCCATTGAGTGTGGTAAGGAGTGGCCATCATCCCTACTGGTAGGACTAGTCCATAGTCTAGAAAAAATCCCAAACGCCTCAAAAATTTCCCAGTACCGGCCTATAACCCTGTTCAGTGTTATATATCGATGTTGGTCATCCATCAGGTCTCGTGAGATTCTTAGGCATGTTTCTCGATACGCCCCAACAGGATGTTTCGGAAATGTTCCAAATAGATCGGCATCGCAAGTCTGGATGGGAGTTCAAACTGCCATTGAAGCAGCCAATCATGATTCAACAACAATCTCAGGGGCTATAGTTGACGTGGTTAAATGTTTCAATCATCTACCACGCATCCCGATGATGGAGGTTATTACACATTTAGGAGTTCACCCCAACCTGGTATCAACGTGGTTTCGGGCACTACAAGGGATGGTCCGCCGATTCAGCATCAGGGGGTCAGCTGGACCACCCATAAAATCCAGCACAGGATGTGCGGAAGGTTGCGGATTAAGCGTGGTAGGGATGTTTGCCATAAATTGCCTCATCGATTGTTTCATGAAACACCGAGCCCCTGAAGTCAAACTCTTGTCTTTTGTTGATAACATGGAAGTTATCTCCAACAGGGCACACCTGACACGAGAAGGTTTGTATCAACTAAGGAGAATCACTGAACTTTTAGACATTCAACTCGACGAAAAGAAGACAGTTGTTTGGTCAAATGATAAAAAGGAAAGGAAATACCTCCGAGACAGTGAGCACCAAGTGGCAATGTGGACACGTGAATTAGGAGGACACGTACAGTTTTCCAAACAAATGACAAATAGTGTCATCACTAACAGAATCAAGAATTTCAAGTCCAGATGGCCCGACATTGCCAGATCCCAAGCACCGTACACCCAAAAACTGAAAGCCATTAAAATGGTGGCATGGCCCAATGCCCTTCATGGAATAACCTCGGTCCACTTAGGTGATGAACACTATGAACACCTGCGTACTGGAGCACTGCGGGGACTTGGGGAACATATGTGGGGAGCATCACCCGCCATACACCTTAGTCTAGTGGAACATCCTTCGGCCGACCCTGGTTTTCATGGAGTCCTCAAAACAGTCATGGACTTCCGTTCCATGACAGAAGCAGATGCCTGCATTCCAGTATTGACCAAACTCGCTGAGCCCAATGACAGGAAAAAACCAACAGTAGGGCCGTGCAGTGTTTTGCTGCAGAGGCTGCATGCAATCAACTGGCACTGGGATGATGATACCTTTTGGGACCACAATGGTTTCGCAATTGATTTATGGCAGCAACCAATACAAGACATCAGACTGCGCCTGACAGAAGCGTGGCAAACCCAAGCGATGCATCATGTTGCACACAGAGCCTCATTCCAAGGGATTTCCCAAACTTCACCATACCTTACTACAGCAAATTTCCCGCAAAATTCCAGTGATGCCAGCATACTTAGGAAATGCCTCAACGGCACCTTTTTCACTGCTGACCATCAAAAATATCGGGATGCAGATGAAAGTACAGATTGCCCTTTTTGCCATAACGCAGACAGCCAATTTCACAGACATTGGGAATGCCCAAGCCTGGAAGATGCCAGAAAATCTATGCCTGAACACCACCGCCAACTGGCCATGCAGTCGCACCCTGCGACTTTCAACCACGGATGGATTCCAGCACCTGCAGCATTGCCTTATTTCCGACAAGCACTTCACAATATTCCTGACAACACCCATAATTTAATTATTCCCGAAATAGTCCCACCCACTTTAGACATTTTCACAGATGTGTCATGCCTTAACCCAGCCTGCAAAATGACCAGACTAGCATCTTGGGCAATTGTCCTTTACACGCCAGATAACCAACATGATTTCACACCAGTGGGAGCAAGTGTATTGCCGGGCCTGATCCAGACAATCACTAGAGCTGAACTGACAGCTGTCATAGCTGCTTTGATTCTTGCGGATCGTCTCCGTAAGCCATTTCGGTTGTGGATTGATAATGACTTTGTAGTAAATGAGTTGCGACAGGCTTTTGAAACACCTGATTTTTTCTTTTCCAAGATTTCTCACAAAACTGCCAATCATGATTTGCTATTGACCCTTCACCTGTGGGCCCACCGAACCAAACTCTTGTGTAAGGGAATTCTCAAAGTTTACAGCCACCAAGAGAACTATGAAGACGCAGACCCAGCTACTGAATTTGCAATCGCAGGTAACGCAGCGGCAGATGAGGCAGCAGGGAAAATCTGCCTTAGTTTTCCTCATGTACACAAACTATGGAAAGTGGTATCCAAGCAGGTTCGAGAGTTAGTAGCATTTCGTTGTTCTTTGCACACCATGTTTGTACAAGTTGGGAACCTTGCTTTGCGTTTAAAATCTCACCAGTCACGGGGAGTCTCTGTGGCACAAGGGCCGACCCACTCAGCTGAAACCATAGTGATGTCTCACTGGCGAGTTAGCCATTTGGGTGCCCCGCCTGCACCCTACATCACTGAGGACTGGGGTAAGATAGCGCAATGGATAGATACTATTCATGAGGATGGACAACCGATCCAGCTGTGGTCTTGGTATCAGCTTTATCTTGATCTTCAGGTATGTTACCCAAACACATCCCCATGGTATAAGAAAACTGTTAAAGCATGGCAAAATGGCCGAGATTGCCCGACAGTGCCTTTCAGGAAAAGGTGCCGATGGTTCTGAATTATGTCACACGCACATGGAAACACTTGAAGGTAGAGCTCCCCCTGCGACTTTGCAGGCCAACCTCTGACGTCTTGCAGTTCTGGTGCCCTTGTGTGACGGTCATGGTAAGTCCAGAACGAACAGCCGCAATTGACCAACAACTCGCGAGCTGCCGTACACGATACGTGGAGTGGAAGGATCTCGATTTCTTCGGCATGTAGAAGTTTTGGGGGCTCAATGTAGTCCGCTTCGGCCGTCTACTTTGAGATCAGCAGGAAAAGTGATAGGAAAAGTGATTGTTCTTTTCGGGATTCTTCGAGGAATCATTTCCAAATGGCCCTAAAATCTAAGCAGCTATTTTCAGGTTATCCTCTGGTAAACATACAAAAAGCTATAGAGCATCACCATTTGGAATAGGTAAATCAACTATAAATGGTTCATTTTCTATAGCTATGTTAAATTACCAGAGGGTCTAAATGATTCGAATTCAGCCGGAGCTAGCAGCCATGGAAGACTAGTTTGGCCTACAGCTTGACCACTGCTTGACACTGCTGACCATTTTATATCCACAAACCATTCAAAGCATTACAGGGCAATGTAGTAAACCCAATGCTATAAAGTATTTGTATATATATATATATACATATATATATGAATACATATATATATATATATACAGACACCATTTGGTGATTCATTCAACTCATAAAAATGGTGACGACGACGACTTTACCACAGATCCACCTGGAGGTATGCGCCAGAGTGGAAGGAACACATCATGACCTGGAGGTCGCTAGCCGAAACGTTCGCGCAAGGGTTGTGAAATGTTGTGAAACAGATGATCATTTGGGTATGGATCAATACCTATTAATAACATTTTTAGGGGAATGAACATCCATTTACCAGCTATTTTGATGTTCACCAGGGGTACAAGGTTTTGATACACTGCCATTTGATGTACTAAAATCCCCCTGGTTGATCAATAGGTATAGAGAAAGTAGAGAACGAGCCGCGCGTTTCAGGCATTGGTTTTCATCCGTACTGGATGGTCCCTTAAATGTGAAGCCACGAAGCCGCGGATTCATTCAACAAAGATATGGCTTGAAGTTCCACATAGAAGCTATGTTCAATAGTGGTGAGTCTTTGTCACTGTCCACACGGACCGCACACTGTGTTGAATTGTGAAGATGAAAGCCCACAGTTATGGCCATTTATTAGTTACAACTGGTTATAAATGGGATTATACAGTCTATAAATGGGGTTATAAGTACTTATAACTGGTAAAGGGCCATAACTGCATGAATCCCAATGTTTCGTGGTTCACATCCAACTCCTTCGTGCCAGGCCATCGTTTTTCCTCTTGGCCGATGACTCCTTGGCATCGTTGGGTGAGAAAGATGACGATGAGGAGGAGGAGGCAGGCTGTGCCAGGGTGGGCTACCTAGAAACTAAATGGGCATGGGTCAAGATGCACACCATAGTAGTTATTATAGGCAACCGCAAATGATTTTATATGTGTTTTTCATTCTGTCCAGGCGCAAATCCATGTCAAACATCGTCAAACCATCCCCAATATATTGCCAGACAAAAAGCATTGTCAACAATTTGGGTTTATTGGGCGTACCGCATTATGTTTGATAGCAAAAGTTCGACCCAGATTGACATGTCGCCCCATGTATTTTTCGGGCAGCGACCGGCAAAAGTGCAAAGAATGTCGGGAGGCATGGAGTGGAAATACTGTACATGAAACAGCAGAAACAAATCAATTGTTAATAGATGTTAATAGTGGTTCTGAGCGTATCAATTTATGGTTCATACTCAGGATATAGATGTAGAATCAACAATATCAATGACTATCAATGACATAGATTTGCTGAAGGTGATTGTTATGTTCTGAGTGGTTAATCAGTTAATCCATCAAACATGATAAATCTATAGGGCCGAAAAAAGAGAATATGTTGAATGTTGTTGGCTATCAAGAGCAAATGGAAGAAACAAGTTTCGACAGAAATCAGCTGGAGCCGTGGAAGTGGAAGGAACCGATTCACTGGAGGTACCGATTCCATAGATATATAAGGCCTATGTGTCAGGCCTATGGTTCAGGGAATATCCCCAGAATTCATATGGCCAAAAATATGGTACGTTTACGTAGCTCCATTTTACGATCCTGAAGATCTCCCATTGATGTAACATCCACTACTTTCAGATGGATTTCTGGAGTATTTACTGGAAACAGTCCTCTCCAGTGATTTTTCAGGCTTTCTGTAGCTGGGGGAAAATCGAATCTATAAATGGGAGATGTGAATTCCATTCCCACGTTTGATTTCAGAGGGTAAGTATGAATCTTGGTAGGAAATACTGCATATTCCCCATAGGATCCATGGTGCTGCTATATATGGTAACATGGATCCCATCAATATACCCCCAATGTTAGCATATATACCATACATGGATCCTATGGGTACTGGCTGTAGGTTGTTCGATTCACACAACCCAACAAAACTCCAGACAACTCAGACAACATATTCATTTCATTGCATCATTACTGTTGCCTGAATGGCAAAAACAAGACCATCAACATAGTTGGTAGGGAATGACATGTCTATATTTTTTTGTTCCCGTGAGGAATCATCTCCCCAAGCATTCATCGAAGGGTGAATTTCAATGTTCTTCTCCATGCGCCTTGGTCAAAACATCGTTGATTTTCCCACAAAGGGCGATGGTCATCCCCCATTCATAGGGGTTAAATAGATCCACTTATTGGTGGTTTCAAAGATGTCTTATTTTCCATCATATATGGGATAATCCTTCACATTAACTATATAATATGTTTGAAGATGGTTAAAACCACCAACCAGTGTTGAGGAATGCCATTCATGAGCATGACTATAGTCCGTGAATCTCATGTTTTGTCAATGGCCATGCAACAGGAACCGATTCACTGGAGGTACCTACCATATATATATATATATATAAGGCCTATGTTTCAGGGCTGTGTAAAGGACTATCCCCACAGAATAGTGCTGAAAATCCCACTGATTTTGGCACTTTTTTGGGGGCTTCCACATTTTGAGATCACAGAGTTGTCGCATCAACTCCGCCTGCGCATGGCCAGGATGAGGATGATGTCAAGAAGAAGGGCAGCTTTCAAGCTTTGATGTTGAGGCATCCAGAAGTTCCAGCCGGCATAGCCATTGTTCCTCTATGCATACATATATATATATATATTTGTACATATAAATATACATATATATATATATATGTATTTATATCATTTACATGTTTGATCCATAAACATCATTAAAATTGAGGGTTAACCACGCAAAAAAACTGGTCATGTGGGTTTCAGGTTTTCTTTAACTAGACTAATTTTAGTATCTTAGCGCATTTTATTACGGATACTTTGAGTGTTTTTGGTACCTCCGAACTGATTTCAGGTGGCTGCTGAAACTTGTAAACGTTGAGGTTTAGTCAGAAAGATAGGTAGAATATAAGGTGATGGGTTTAAGACATAGACAGTCGATGACAGATATTTATAATCAGTGCATGATTGGTGAAGGGGTCTATATCATATAAAAGTCGAATTGCAAACAGAAGCCGGGAGGGGTCCAGAGAAACTGTTGCGCTGTGTGATAAGTTTTGATTGGCGGATCCCAGAGGCACCCATGGTTCCAGTTCCAGTCCTAACAAGGGACCCCTTATCCTCATTGTTGCATGGTATCATTTGCTTAGTTCATGGTGATATGGTGTTTGTTTGTGGGCTATGAATGGCTTGGATCATGCTGTTTCTTGAAATTGAAGATTGGAACCCCCACGTAATGGACTGCTGAGGGAGGGGGGAAAAAACCTTCAGAGTGTCTCTCGAAATTCCCTGAATTCTTTCCTTGAGAAACATAGAGGAAACCTCTGACTATGATTTGTTTAATAGGTTTTTTTGGGGGGCTGTTAAAACTATGGGTTCCTCTAAATGTTCCTTCCGAGCGAAAAAAAAAAAACATCGGAGAAACTCCGCTGGTTCACCAGGTTTTGCGCTGCAGGTCTTGATCAAAGTTGACTCCAAAAACGGGATTATGGATGATAGTTAACATAGTTGACATAGTGATATTAGTGGATACCATAGTGATATTAGTGGATACCATAGTTATTTTTTAGTGGAACATTGGATTTTCATTGATAGTTGATAACCAATGATTTTTCCAACATTGGGATAGTCTGATACCTCTGGTAGTGTCGTGACGATTGGTTGAACTCAATGGGCGCGATATCCCGAGCCGAAGTTCAGGGCCGAAGCTAGTGCGCACGCTGCATGGCCTGCGGCCTGCATCGTAAGTCATCCAGAACTAACAAAACCCACGATCAATGGGAATTTCAGGATCCTAAATTGGAGGTACGTTAGTACCATTTTTGACCATATTTTGTGGGGATATTCCCTTACATAGGCCTGAAACATAGGCCTTATATATTGTGGGTACCTCCAATTTAGGATCCTGAAATGGCCATTGACACGACTTGAAGATGTGGTATCCCCGGTTTCGAGAAAAGTTGCACGGATTTACTAAGCAGAATGCACTTCTGAATGCACAAGAAATTACAATGGCGAGAATACCCACAGGGGCAGGGCTCAAAATCACATTCCTGACCGAAAATCATCACTAAAGGTGCGTCGAATGACCCTCAAAGTAGCCATCAAAAGTGGTACCCTCTGGTAAACTAACATAGCTATTGAAAATGGCCATTTACAATGGATTTTCCCATTAAAAATGGTGATTTTCCATAGTTATTTCTATGTTTACCAGAGGGTAAGTGTACCAAACTGTTGGGTAATTTGGTGTCACAATGCGGGCTCCCCAGTGATGTTTTTTTGGTTTATGTTTATCCGGTCCACTGGAGTGATTCATCTCCACCATAAATTTTGACAGACATTAGGCAAACCAACAGAACCTTGCATGGATCCAATATCAATATCAATATCAATAGACACTCAATCCCGAGTTCAATATCAATCTCCATTTTGAGTGTCTAAATTCACATGTTTGAGTGGCAAATCCCAATTTTCTAGGACAAAAACAGCTTGATCAAATTGTTAACATATATGTTTTTTTTTGGAATCACTCACTTTTGGTAGATATTACATATATATCCCAATATGTCCCCATATATATCCCCATGTTTTCCCCATGTTTTCCCCATAAATCAAAGGCCCTCATGATGAACCCCCGGTTTCCCCTACAGGTGCCTATCCTACCGCGTCCATGTCGCCTTGCTGCATGGATTGCAACGCCGTGGCAATCGCTGGGGAAGCCCAAGAGGGAGACGGTGGTACCAGGGGGCCGAAACGAGAATCGTTGGTGGATGTTGGTGGCTTATGGTCCCCCAAAAGATTAGAAAACATACTGAAACAAGTACTGAGAAAAGTGATTCAGCCACAATAACAAATCGATGTCCAACATGTATATCTCACTATGTTTTTTTGGTTTGGTTTGTTTACCTTCAATGCTATCTGCTATATGGCTGTTAATCAGAAGGATATTCGTGATTGCTAGATGTTTGTTTTCTCGGGGATCAACGGTGGACCATGGTGACAGCAAACCATGGAGTTCTTGATGGATTTTTTTTAGGGATTTCCTCTTCGGAAACGATCAATGCGGGAGGTGGAACCTATCCATGTTAGTTTACTGGAGGGTACCCTCTGGTAAACCTACAAAAAGCTATGGGAAATCACCATTTATAATAGGTAGATCAACTATAAATGGGCCAATTTCCATAGTTATGTTAGTTTACCGGATGGTAAATCATGTTGATCCCATTGATTTGCTTGGGCGGGATATAGCTGAACCAGCGGGAAGTCTGGTTCTTTCACAACACTTAGTGTATCAGTATGTTGATGAAACACAGTAAAAGCTACAACTGAACACATGGTAATAATGTACTATCACATTACATCATAATACCGAAACAATTAGTACACCTTGGGTAGGTCACTGGCTGATGTTTTGTTGCCAAAAACGGTGGGATATCCGTCCTGGTCCCAAATCTCGACCATGTATTCAAACATGCCAACACCAAAAAAAATGGGTGTCCTGGGAAAAAGAGGTCGGTTAAATCATCATGTGAAATCACACAGTTGTGTTGGTTAGATCCATTATGTTGTGCTGGTTGGTGGTTTGGAACGATTTGGAACATGAATTTTATGACTTCCCGTATATTGGGAAGAATAATCCCAACTGACGAACTCATTTTTCAGAGGGGTTGAAACCACCAACCAGTATGTGATTTTGCCCACACCATTCAGGTGTGATGGCTTTCACGGTGGAGCCGGACAATCACGACTCCTTCATCGACTTTAACGTACAGGTGAGCAGAAGCACATTGGCCAGGGGATTTTTTTGGGAGGGATTACATGACCATCTGCAATATATGTCTGTTTGAAGCTGGTGGTTCATAGGGATGTAATGGGATTGAGTATGATTTAGTGTTTTTTTGTTGTTGGTTCACCAGCAATAAGGGTTATATCATGTTAAATCATGATTCGGCTCCATTCATGGGATTTTGAGGAGTATCATGATCCATCGAATATGGGAGTCCCGTTCTCAACCAACCAGGATTAAATGAAATGACAGTGGGCTTTGAAAACTGCTCATGTGCTCATACGAAAAATACCGTGTAGGGCATCTTGTTGATAGCTTTCAGTGAAATAGGGATTTCAACCACTTAAACATGTGGATTCAACCACCCTTATACGGAGATTGTTCGATTAACATGGGGATTAATTTTGGATATATGATAGCTTTCCGCCGGTATACATAATATACTCGTATCTGCAATATTTTGATATAAACCAATACAATATAAGGAAATATAATGTAATAATATTATAATATAATGTAATTCAATCAAATTATATTTATATACAATTATATTATATATATATATGAAATAACTATCTCATATATGGCGGATAACAGTCTACTGTTTTTTTGGAGAACATAAAGCAACAAACATGGACTCTTCAAGATGGTTGCTGAAAAAAATCAGAAAATTGACCAGCTAAATATGTATGTGTATATCAATAATCTTTAAGTCATTGGATTGGTTGGCAAATTGAAACCGGAAATCCCCATATTTGATGGTAAAAAACAATGGTTTCCTGTAGATTTTCCCTTAAACCAATCCAATGATTAAGTTATCCCTGCATTTCTTTCGACTAGGCAAGCCAGTCGTGTAGCTAGAGGTTCGGTCTCCTATTTCTCCTATGAGATTGGCCCGTCTGGCCCGCTGTAAAGAAAATCTCCAAGTGGCATCAAAACAGGTTAGGTTTGCTCTACTTATTTTTGTATTTACTATATATGTAAATATGTGATTGATATCAATTTATATGCACTCTTCTGATACTCTTATGGATGTTTATGTGTTCACCTTCAAGCAAAAAACGGTCCGGATATCCATTTGACAACTGGAAGCACCAGGACGATGGCTCAAGGGAACCTGAGCCCATTCGGACATGTTTCCCATGGACAAACTAAGACAGCCATAAATTGGGGGGGTATACCAACCATTACTGATTGGTGGTTTGGAAGCATGGAATTTTATGACTTTCCATTCAGTTGCAGTTATGGCCATTTATTAGTTATAACTTATAACTGGTTATAAATGGGATTATACAGTCTATAAATGGGGTTATAAGTACTTATAACTGGTAAAGGGCCATAACTGTGGGAACTTCATAATCCCAACTGACGAACTCCATCATGTTTCAAAAGGGTAGGGCTCAACCACCAACCACTAATGTTATCACATTCCCGGCACGATATCCAAGATATTCAAGGCCCAAACCCCAGAACCGGGTGGTGTTATCACTGAAGGAGCTGCAGTTAGGGTGATCTTTATAGGTTATACGATGTTATAACGTTAAGGATATAACTTACCCTCTGAGAACTTCACGTTGCTATTTGAAAATCGTCATATTTATAAAGGTAAAGCATCTATATGTAAATCAAATGGGCCATTTCCATAGCTGTGTTGACCTAGCATAGGGATCCATAGGGGATGTACAAAAAATCCCTACAACTATGGCGCTATCGCCACCGATTGCTCGAGACGCCAGGGTGCCCTACAACCACTCCTCGAAGAGGAGGAGGAGGAAGAGGAAGAGGAAAAGGACCGATGTTTTTGTTGACCATCTGGTAAACTAACAGTTTGCTATGGAAAATGGTGATTTATACTTGATTTACCCATTAATAGCAGTTATTTTCCATAGTTTTTTGTATGTTTACCAGAGGGTACCCTCCGGTAATCTATGGCAACACCCAAAACAATGCCTAGTTACGTGTTTTCCAGGAGGTTATATAGATGATGTTTCTGTCTTTTCCAGTCTATCGTATATAATATAGATATATCATATATTGTGAAAACAAACACAATAATAGGTAATTAGATTAAATGCAATTAGATAATCTATAGGTCATTTTCCATAACTATGTTCAATTACCAGAGGGTTCTACGGTGAATTGTGGCCAGAGAGGGGTCAGCATGGTGATCCAGGACGTGCACAGTCTACGCGATAGGATATGGAATCTACCCATATAGCCATGAGTTAGGGTGATGACAATTGCAACAGTATGAAGCACCCTAACATATCCTAACATAGTTTTGATAGAAGCATGTTAATTCAACATGTATACACTCATGGAGGCTCTATCATTTTAATGTTGATTTACTGGAGGGTACGTGGTATCTAACCTCGATTTAGTAATTTAGCGAATAAGTAGGACGGACCAATAAATGAAGGATTAACATGGATTAACCGTCAAACCTGGGGCTGTATAAACAAAAACACGGTCAACTCATGTTATGTCACTGAATCTATTCACGGTGATACCCCACTGTACCATGCCTTGGGTGTCAACCCAGTTCTGTTTGTTGACTAGTTTGATATAATATATATATATACTATAGGGGTATATAGTTATCCAACAGCTATTACCAACTTAGCCAACTAAATCCCATCAAATCACCATTAAAACATCATGCGTACAGTCTTGGCTCAAGTTTTCTTCATGCCTAGTAGGAGCCATCCTTTCAGCGAAGCCACTCAAATCGTGCTGTAAATTCCATCGTGTCCACCTGCCTGGTTTTTGGGTGATTCTGAAATAATCCCATCAGCCTAACCCATGACGGATCCATGGTGCTGGTATATCAATGCTATCATGACTGGGGTATATTGATGGGATCCATGGAGCACCATATATAGCAGCACCGTTAGGATCCGTCATGGGCTATAATAGGTAAATAGTAGGAAGAAAAATCATGAAAAATCTTTTTGGGGATGATAGGGAAATCCTACTACAACCTAGGTGAAGTAGAGTTTATATAGGTTGTGAAACAGCCCCTAACTGGATGGTCCCAATGGAATGTGGACATTCCCTGGAGTTCCACCATGGCACCATGGGTTCGTATATAGGGGGATCCAAGATCCATGGGATACCCACATCGATAGCAACATCCCAACATCAGCAGCTCATGGGACTGGCAAACGTTTTTTTTTCTTATGCTAACCCAACAGTTGAGCTGGAATCCTTTTGCTTGCACATCCTGGCCTGACAAGTGATTAAACACATTTTTTCAGTTGAGTGTGTCCCTTTTCCGACTCAGTAGGAACTAACAAGGGCTGTGACAAGTGAAAGATAGGCTAATTTCGGCTGCATGTCCATGTCAAAAAAAGAAAACTAATCTGTTCTGTTCGTTGTATTTCTTGTGCAGGGTCAAACTCTGGCGCGCAAAAACTGCTCACAGATCCCACATTTGTTTGGTGCAACATGAGCATAGTAACCTACCGAAAGATATAAGACATACTATGGTAACCCCTATTAACATAGCAATGGAGGTGCTATACAGTACCGATTATTATCCACACATCATATCCATACCTATCTAATTCATCCTTGTAAGAAATCACACATGTTCTACAGACATCAAAAGAACATATTTTGTGTAATGTGGGCAACCCAATAATGAACCTACCATTTGGGGATGGTTTTCACCATCCATTTACGCTGGTTTTCCATGGTTTATGAATGTTTATGATTGAGTTTACCTACAAGATATGATATATTAGGCGAGTTTCCATGGTACAATCCATTTCCACATGCAATAACAGCAACATGAACTGTCTCCTGGGAACTTGGCTCCAAGCCATAGGATTCTATAGATCATTGGCCCGAGTTATACCAGTTATAAGTACTTAATTATAAGCCCATTTATAGAATGTTTGTTATCCCATAGAAATAACCAGTTATAACTTTCATAAATGGCCATAACTGTAGGATTCTATAGATCATTGGCCGCAAGATGGTGACCAGCTTCGCCCAGGGACTCGGAACATAACCTGCCTCAGGACGACATTCTCGCAGCTCTCAAGGCCTTTCAAAAGCGTGCAGGGGACAAGGCCGGTGAAAGCTGCCACCAACTGATTGGAGGATCATCCCTCCTAAATATTGCGCGGAACTGGGCGTATACTTATTTAATCTTATTTATAAATGGAATAACTCCACTGAATGGGGACTTACGATTTTTTTGGCGGAAATAGGCTACTTATTAACCACTTACTAAGTAGGATGATCCTCCAAGTGTGGTTTCAGGTCTGTATGTTGGTCCGGAAATAAGATGCCGCAGAATCCAGTGAAATGTCCTTAGTTGGGCTGTTTCAGCGCAATCCCCAAATGAGAAGACCCAACACTACACCAAAGGATTCATTTTGGGAGTGTTGAATATCATAAGGGGAAGGGACTAATTATCTTTGAACTATAGTCACAATTATAAGCCGTTAATATTAAGAGGAACCTGTATCACTCATAGCCCAACAAATATCTTATTTGATCGTGATCGTCTCAAACATTGATATTATTGTATATATCTAGCACACAAAGGATTATTCATAGTAGACATCAATGTACTTGGATACACTATGGCGGATTTAATTGGGCCGTACAGATACGTTTTGAGGGGGTAGCAAATTAAGGAGGGGAAAACGGGGGAATTTAAAGAAATTTAAAGTCATCAAGTAATACTGAAAACCAACGAAAAATCCAAGCTGTGCCAGCTATATGTTCCTCTTAATTATTACATGTGAGTAGTATCACAAATTATCCATATCAAAGAATAGGGCTTAACTATTCATGTCATATTAGATCATATTTCGCCGGAAAGAATCATTGGTGCATGCCTTCATGATATCTACAGTAGCAACTGTGGGTAAGTCTGAGGGCCTGAATATGTTAGATATGAACTACTCTGACTAAGGTATTAATGATTAGATCTGTAATAAGGCTAAGTAGTTCAATAGCAACAGTATCCAGTTAGATCTGCAAATGTGAACTGTCACAATAATAAGCTGAAGACTTATCGTTACATATCGTTACACCCATAAAATATCATAAAATCTTAGATGCACACTTTGATGATATTTATTATTACGGAGAAGCCTCAAGACCTTTGACATAGACGATGGATATCATAGGTGGGTGGAAGAATTTTCCACGTAAAATGGCGGTGTTCATCGTCGAACTGTTAGTTTGAACCAAAGTGTTATCCCTAGTAAGTAATAACAACATGTTATTATTGAATATCTACAGATTCATTCTGAGATCCCTACAACAGATACTGTAGTCATATTCGTATTTGACTAGTCCTGTCGGGATCTCATAATGCATGTTAAGTAATTAGTCATGTTAGAATATGTCATTATTCACATAATTGTTCTATTGTTCTATTGGGATCATCCCCATATTCAAAATTTAAAAAGAATCCTAGCGGTATATTCATTAAACATATGGCTATTGAATATGGTGATATTATGATATATTTTATATCATTATAATTACATAGAATCCTCGTATAATAGTCCCCAATAGCAATATTGATTATTACTCTCCAGTAAATTAACATAGACCCGGGCAGATAGTTGTTTTTTTCAGATTAGTTTCCACTAAAAATTGATCGTAAAATCAGGGTCGAACTGTGAGTTTGTCAGAGGGTAAATACATATATATATATATATATGGTACCCCCCCTTTTATATATATATACATGATAATAGCATAAATAAATCATTCTAGTATATCATGAGCACAAGGTTCATTTAAACCTTTTTAACTCACAATGAATGTGGTGTTATTTATATCACTATTCATAATATATTGTACATTATTGAATTTATATGACAATATTAATAACTGGTTGATGGTTTGGAACATGATTTTTTATTTTTCCATTCAGTTGGGAATGTCATCATCCCAACTGACTTTCACTCATATTTTTCAGAGGGGCAGGTCAACCACCAACCAGGTAATGGTTACTGCCATATCTTCCACAGAACCCCCGGCCTCTCTGCTGACGACCGCTACGTCGCTAGCGTCGTCAGGTGCCGCCTGACGCGATGCTCCGCTGCTTCCTGCTCTGCCGCTTCGCCAAGAACACCCTGGCGCTTTGGCCAAGTCGTCGCGTTTGTGTGCCGCGTTGTGGGGAAGTCATTGGCAGGGCTCGTTTTCAACCATGGTTTTCAACATGTTTCAAGCATGAAACATTTGGAAACAAACTGATATGAGGTATAACTATGATATGGAAATATATGGGGTATGATAAATGGATCTAATCCACTGGGAAAGGTGTTTAGAAATCTTGAGTTGGAAGACTGTTCCAATGAAGTTCTGGAACGCTTCGAATCCAAGGTCCGAAGGTTTTACATCCGATCTCGTGGGGGTACCTCTTATAGGTCTTGTAGGGGTTATTAAAACGTAACTATACGTAGTTATATGGGAGTCTTTGGACAACATTATGAACTGGAAACACTGGAAACCTCTTATGGACCATCCAGTATAATTGGTTTATACCAAAATAGATACTTGCACAGCCACATCTAGAAATATGGCCTCCCCAGTATAGAAAGATATACCGTCAAAGCCCTTTACCAGTCATTTCCAAGGTTATTTCCATGGTTATAAACCGGGCTATCATTCCATAAATTAAGTGATTTCACTGACTTAGAACTGGTATTTCGGGCCAGAACTGTACATATTCCTCCGGATCCATCGGGGACCTTCTGGGAAGCATTTGGGGGTTGATTTAGGGGGTTATTTGTTCCTTCTCAGGCTTCTCAGGTAGTATTTGGATCCATTTGATATAATGTGGGAAAAACAGTGTCATAAACCACCCATGACTGGGAATGGTAACTATAACACCTATAAAAATGGTGATGACTGGGGGATGGTTTATGACATTGTTTTATCCACAGTGCACACATTGTACTCATTGTACCCTCTGATAAACTAACATAGCTATGGAAAATCACAATTTTAATTTTAATGGGTAAATCAACTATAAATGGCCATTTTCAATAGCTATGTTAAACTACCAGAGGGTACATCTTGTCCATGCCTTCAGTCTACCGAGGCACTCGTTGAGGCTGAAAAGGGTGCAATGCTCCTTGGCGTGAGTTGATTTGGGCGCTTGAGCCTGGTTCGTAGGGAAGTCAAGAATCAAATTATGGGCACTTCACCAGACCATAGAAAAAAACATGCGGAAAAAGGTGTCTTAACCAAAGAACCATGGTGATATTACCATCAAAAATCCGGGTTTCACCAGTGAAAATCGAAAAAAAACAAAAACATCTGATTGGTGGTTTGGAACATTTTGTTTCCAATATATTAGGAATAATGATCCCAACTGACTAATATTTTTCAGATGGGTTGAAACCACCAACCAGACATACTCTAACCATCAGCAATTTAAATGCAGCTATCAAAGCCACGACAGATGGGGTTCAGTAACCACTGAAAAGGTGGAGAGATATTGGATTTCACTGGGAAAGGTCTGGGAGTTATGGTGGAGAACAATCTATAATAATCTATAGTTGAATGAAAGAACAAAAATCAACAAAGATAAGTGAGTGGTTGGGGGGCACATTGTATAGGTTGACCCGGAAGAATATGGCAAAATATATGATGTTTTCAACCGCGAAAGTTGGGTTTTGACCAAGATGTGGGTTTCGAACTTGATCCAGACAAACCGTGGGAACGGACATGCATCCATGACTTACCATGATAAGAACAACCCAATACCCATAGGATCCATGTATGGTATATATGCTAACATTTGGGGTATATTGATGGTAAATGTTACCATATATAACATACATGGATCCTATGGGATATGACAACCATGTATATTGGTCCTTCGAGGAATCGTTTTGTTTTCTCATTGCGTGATCTCAAATGCCGTTGTTAGCTGGAGACCATCTGGTAATTTATTATAGTTATGGAACATTCTTATGTTCAATAGGTAAATCATCAAACAAGCAGAGCGATTTAACCGTAAGGGGAGTTGTTTATCTTCGTGTAGCTGTTATTTAACATCAATACACATGCATCTCAAGTGCAAGATCATATGGTATGTTATTCCTGTATGTATTTTTATATATTTACATACAATAATATGTATAATGTATATATATATATATATTATATATACATTATTATATGTTCACGTCATACGCAGCAATCAAAGACAAATTGTATAAATTGCATATGTATACATATATACATATACATGCACATTGGCATGCTACAGAAGTGATTTTCCTGGATGTATATGTGTGAATGATTGTAAATGTTCATACAGACTGACTGACTGGCTGACTGACTGACTGACTGACTGGCTGGCTGACTGGCTGGCTGGGTGACAGAAAGACATACATACACAGACAAACATGGAAACAATTAAACCAAACACCCTGTTCAAACAATATAGAAATATAGACAGAACAAACATCAAACACGCAACCTAAACACATACATAACTACCTACATAAACACATACATAAGACACACACACACAAAAACACATACAGAGATAGACACATACAAATATCCAAACAATTACTCTACAGAAATTCATGCATGCATTCATAGATTTATACTATTTTATACTATTTCAATCTATTTCATACTTATTTACGCAACATTTCGGCACGTGGACATCATCGGCATGGGATATGTTTCCTCGGCTCCAAAAACGAGGTCCGACTTGTTGAAGCTCGCAGTGCGGGTGATGCTGATCCAGGCACCGTTTTTGTGGTCGTAGTTGGGTCACCAAGAAAAGTGAGCAGAGTTCCTCCTATTCAACACACCCCAAGAACCATGGTTTAAACGTTTACCCTCTGGTAAACTAACATAACTATGGAAAATCACCATTTTTAATGGGAAAATCCACTATAAATGGTCATTTTCAATAGCTATGTTAAATTACCAGAGGGTAAACGTTTAGTATGACCATTTTATTTGGAATGTGGTTATATGAAAGGGATGGGATAATAACTGAATTTGACCTTAGTTGGAGAAGTTTGAAACTGCAGTCTGGGTGATCTTTACTTAATTTCATTTACCTTGGTATGTCCCTTAACTAGCATATCCAATGTTTTTCCTATGAATTTGAGTGGCAACATTCTTGGTGGCCAAATTCAGTCAAATGTTTTACAGTAGTTAAATTTGACTGAAATGAATTTTCAATGTCTCTGTACGGGATTGAGGCAAAACCTGAGGTCGCATCGATCCAAATTTACGTCCTCCTCCGGTCGTCACCTGAGTCACCTAAATCTCATAAATTTGGCCGGGCAAGTACAGAAGCCCCCAGACCGGATAGCGAACTCATCAGTTACCCTCTGGTAAACTAGCATAGCTATCGATAATGACCATTTATAGTGAGTTTTCCCATTAAAAATGGTGATTGTCTATAGTTATGTTAGTTTACCAGAGGGTAGTTGTTTTTTTCCTCCATTGAGAAGTTGATTTCCTTGAGACAAACATGGTAGTTTACCCTGAGCAGGAAGTTATAACATTGATATTTTTACCCACTGCAATTCAATTAAGCATACTTACCATACAACCCTATGCCCATATATATATACTATCAACCACCCCCACTTTTGGTTCATTGTTGGACTTACTACGTTTCTAAATAGGTTCTATGATATATATATATACTTATAAATAGATATATAGATATAGTATATAACACCCATTTGAGCTGAATGTACCTTTCTTATGGATATCAGATATCATCTATTTTCAATAGCAGAAATCGCCGATGTCCCTTGATTGCAGCCCGGAGGAGATGCTTCTGCGCTATGTGCCCTTGGACAAGCGCGCGCAGGGGAGCCCCGGGTTCTGGCATTCCGGAGGCCGAAGTGGAATGGTTTGGTTATCCCATTCATATTGGGGATTAATATATAACAACTGGATATATCCTGGTTGGTGGTTTGGAACTATGGAATTTGATGACTTTCCAGTTGGGAATGTCATCATCCCAACTGACGAACTCATATTTTTCAGAGGGGTAGGTATACCACCAATCAGATATACATAATGGGGCTGGTTTATTGTTGGTTATAGCCCTATTCATCAGAAAGGATGTAACCCCAACAATAAAGCTCAGAACAGGCAAGTAGCAGGGTGTGGTCCCGGAGGTTGCCGCGGAAGAAAGGGGCTGGTCTTATTGTCCGTTGCCTTGTGGACCCGTGGAACTGCAAAAATCTTGGATATATTTGGGGAATACTTAAAATGAATAGAAACTAGATTCAATCCTAACTTTGGGCTTGTCTCAAAAATCACCATATGTGTTGCTTGCGTGTTTTACTCATCCAGATATGTTTCTTGAACATTCTTTATCCAGCAAGTCCACCAAAAACATCCAAAAACTAGAGACGGTCTTGTGGAGAGGTCGTCAATGGCGATGGTCGCCCCAATCATTCCCGACGGTTCTCCCGTGTTGGATTCGAATCTACGGGGCGTTCGGGAACGCCCCGTCGGTTAAAAACCTCGTTTTTGGTTTCCAGTGGATAACATGTTGGTGGGATCACAACTTGTCTCGGTTTGTAGGGAACACTGCTTCGTGGATAAAAAGGTTTTTTTACAGTCGAACGCCTCCAGCAAACATACGGAAACCGGTGGAAATTCATGGCCCAAGGGCATGTTCCGTCGAAATGGTGGGTTGGGAATCTCCTGGGCGAACCCTGGATGCCTTGGCGAATCCCAGGTTCACCACTGTGGAGTTCAATGACTGGGGGCTCTTTTCGGAATACCTCGGACCGATCCTCCAAAACAAGTGCCATGCTCAGTTCTTGCGGTGTTCGGTGGGAAACTCAGTTGTTTTTGTCCAGTGTAAATGAGTAGCACCAAAATTATTTGGATGTGATATGGCGATACATTTTTATATACATATGATTGATTTCAGCACTGATTTGATATCTCACGGGAATCCACAATTGGCTGTTTTCTATAGACATATGTTAAATATTGTTCAATAAGCAGAAAGTCAATGATCCATAGCCATTTTTGCAATCTGAGATAGAGTCCTATAGGTCCAGAATTATCATAATTCTTCTCTACCTTGGCCGTCAAATGACCAACAAAAACAAGTTAACCACTGTGAATAGACTGCCAAATGCTAGAATTGTTAATTGAGGGTTAATTGAGACTGTTGTTGGTGAATAGAACTTCACCATTTTGAAAATAGACAACCACTATTATTGGTGAATTGAGGGTCTCGGCAAACACATAGCAGCCCCTGAGGTTCTATCCCTTTTTGGCAGAGGAGATTGGGAGACACAGCTGAAGCTGTTCGGAGTTCCCATTGAGATCTGGGTAAATTGTCAACCTCCCCACGACCTCACAATACATGTTGATAATCTTGATATAGAATCATCACCAAAATTTGGTTCCTTTCAGGTTGCTAATTCTGATTGAGATAAATGCAATCAGGACCGATAGACATGGGGAGATTACCAACAGACTGGGGTTGTAATGAACATGAATGAGCATTGAATCTACAAAAACAATTGTGTTGAATGCAGAAAACTTTGTTTTCAGCAGGAGACAGTGGATCAACCAGTATACACACTATATAATATCATATAAACATGTTTTGTCTTTTTTATATTATCATAGGATTGATAAATTCGAAGTTTATTCCTTACGGGATAGCTATGTGAATGGTAATTCACCACTATGTTGATGAGAAGAGTCCTTTATTCCTTGGAGTCATGGGTTTCAGGCTTTCAAGCAAAGAATCTGAACAAGCAGCTGGTTGGCTGGTCAACTATGGTTTAACTATGGTTTAACTATGGTTTAACTATGGTTTAACTATGGTTTAACTATGGTTTATGATGCATACACAATATTTGTTAGATGGATCTATACACTGACTTCCTCTGATTTGTTTGCACGGTGGATTAATAATGTGTCATTAAACTATTACACCATTTAAAATGGTGCATAACCAATGATGATTTGGTGGATCCCAACTGAATCTCTAATGTTTCTTCAGGGGGCTGGCTCAAGCAAAATCCATTGGTCAATGAATGGTGAACGAATATATAGAAGTAATATATATATATACACACTATGGTACATTATTTTTATACTTGGTGAATGACTTTTTTTCTAAGATGTTGCTTCTCACTTTGATTTCTGTGCATCAAAGATGATATTTTCTGGAAACTGTTGACACCTTGGGACAGCCAATGTGAGCTGCTTCAAGACCAAGATATTGCGATACCCCCATGATCGCTGGAGAAGATTCGCCCATTGCGAGACACGTGGTTCTTAGTGGGTAGGATTCGCCATTATATTATATAATATATAATTTTTGATATATATATATATATTTATTTATTATATATAATAACATTTTACATATATATATATATATACAATATTATATATTATAATCTGTAATATAAACTTTAAACCAGAACATGAATAGGGAGTTACTCCCATTCCACAGGAGCTTGGTCGCTTGAACAAGTTGGACATCCCAGAGGTGGGTTTGTCTGGGGATCCAGGGATGCTACTGGGAGTTCTTGTCGATTTTTTGGATAGTGTTTGCAGAAGGGGGATTTACCACTACAGATTACAGATGATCAACTGATTCATGATTCAACCCCAAAAAATATTACCCTCTGGTAAACATACAAAAAGCTATGGAAAATCACCATTTGGAATAGGTAAATCAACTGTGAATGAGCCATTTTCAATAGCTATGTTAAATTACCAGAGGGTATATATATAATTATATATATATATAGGTTCGAAGTCCAACTAGGTTGGATTTCAACAACAATAGTTGATCTTTTGAAATAGGAAACAACATTGTGACTCAATGGATCAGCAGCAAAATGCGGTATGGGGATACACTTCAGTGGTACATTATGTATATTTATATGTATATATATATGTATATATATATATATGTATACATACATGCATGCATATACATATATATATATATATACACATTACTGATTATGTATGTATATATATAAGAGTGTGTGTGTGTGTTTGTCTGAAAATAGGATACCCCCAAATCTAAGCGTAAATTCAAATCTTCCCTTTCTAAAATTGCCGTTGTGAGATATTTGAAGGTATACCGCATAATGTTCCAGCACCATGGAGCACATGGGTGTCATATACATATAAACGTTATTTAGGCCCAAAATGTGCATCTCAGTTTTAATAAATGTAGGTAATCACCGTTAGTAATCACCATTTTATAGCCCAGTTATAGTTACTGCATTTTCCTTCTGGATGGCTCAACCACCCAATCATTTGGCGGAGACAGAGCCAGGGCGTGCAATTGGAATCCTGTGACATCTTCGATGGCACGGGCACCGAAAGATGTGGGTCAACTCACTGCTGAGGGGTAGTTTTAATTAATCAACCTTATTCCATCATGTGTAGTACCTAAACCTACTATAAGTGTATTTTTTATGGGTTGTACGATCTTTTAATTCAGTGTTGTTCTTGCGATGGTTTGTTTAGAGATATCCTGATGACCCCATCGACTGGTCAAATGGGAATTGTCGTAGAATATGTGAACAGTATCAAACACTACCCTTTGTTCTTGCTACTAGTCTCTTTTCTCTCCATTCGTTGATATCAGACCATGTCTCCATTTTGTTAGGTGACAGAAGCCATTTCTTGTCGGTCAGATTGGGATTCCCCCCTTTTCTTATTCTCAAATAGTAGAGATGACCCTCAGATAGCCAAGCTGGTCCAAAATTAGGCTAACTATGGTTCACGGCAGATACATCTACAGTTTTATCATCCAACTTGGGTCTATCCGAAATTGAAGATGCTTCAAAATTACAAGTTTAAACAAGAAAAGGATGATTAACATTAATTAATCATCAATGTTTGGAGTACCGTATTTATGGACAAAACCAACTTACACCCTCCTGGTTCCACTTTTCTTCGTGTGGAAAAGCCACCATTTGTAAATCATGTTCCCAGCGAAACCATGGGTTTTCCACATGTTTCTGTATGTTTACCCCAGAGTGTCGGTGGGGATAGCAACGTTGTCCCAAGTTGAACAACAGCCTGGCTGTTTCGAGGCCGACTCTATGGACATGTCTTGCAGTTCGTGGTGACCGGGCGGCAATGGGGCTGTGGATAGGATTTTAGCAACGCCTTGGTTTGCTTACTTGGTGGCTCATCCCATTTATATTCAATATAGTTAGTAAATGTTGGTTATAACCCTAGTTGTCAGTGGATTAATCCTACTTATCCCAGTTATAACCAGGGTAATCTACTCAGTAAGTGGGATGAGCCACCAAGTCAGGTGATGTTTGTCCCCGTAAAACATCCACAGTTCGGGGAATCTACAGGGAACTATTCAGACCCAGGCCCACCGTGGAGTGCAAAGTCAGATGCTGTTTCCTACCTCGTTCACCCGGAATCTGTATGGTGGAAACATTAGGATCCCTACTAAGCACCCTCTGGCTATTTAACAGTTCGCCATAGAAAATTGCCCATTTATAGATGGTTTACCTGGGTTGACCTATTAATAGCATGGTGATTTTCCATGGCGAACTGTTCAATAACCAGAGGGTATAAGAAAGCAGTATGTCATAGAGAAACACGGGGTATTTGTTCAGCTCATCTTGGTAGAACTGGAAGATTTCACGATCCAGTCATGGATCTAGTCACTGGTAGGTAAATGGTGTGCCAATGCTTCAACGTGCCAAAACTTGGATATAACAAAGAAACCATATTTCTTTTGTAAATGCTAGGCAATCATACATCAATACTTTCCCATCTGAAACGGGGATATGACCAGCCAGAATCATAGTTTCATATTATCAAGAAACAATCGTAAACTTACGGTCAACGCTGTGAAGGGTTGCTAGTGCACGTTTACTGTTGGCTCTAAACATTGGTTCATCTTACATGCCTAGCTAGAAATTGACTTCTTAAAGAAGATGATCCACAAGGAAGTTGCAGCATATCCAGAGCCAAGAGTAGATGGACAACGACCACCAAAGACGAAATTATCAACAGGGATCCATCCACCAATGCCACCATCACGACCATCACAAGCCCTACAGAATCGGTGGCCCTACTAGATCGAAACGGCTGTTCCAGAAAGATGTTCCGATTTCTCAGGGGGATGGTTCAACCACCAGATAGGTAGGTTAGATCGGTGATGGTCCACTTAAACATTGGCATAAGCCTCAGACCTTTGGAAATGGATGAGTTGTGCCACAAAAAATATCGTATCAACCATATACATCATCACATTACAGTCCATGTATCATTATATATATATATATATTTTTTGTTTTTTGCTTGGTGGTTTGGAACATTTTTATTTTTCCATATATTGGGAATCATTTCCAACTGATTATTATTTTTCAGAGGGGTTGAAATCACCAACCAGTATATATATATATGGTACCAAATCAATTTTTATAGTATATATATATATATATGTCCATTTTTCAGAGGGGTTGAAATCACCATTACTAACCACATCAGCAATGGCTAGATGTACCAAATGGATATGTCAGGTACCCAGAAAGGATGGTTTCAGGTACCTGATCTTTGTTAGTTGGCTTGCCACTGAATGTGCCCATGTGGTGCACGTTGACTTTACAAGGTGGAACTTCGGCGCAAAGTATCAGAAACCTCAGTTCTATTTGTCCTATCTATCCTATCGAATCTATCCTATCTATCCGATGTGTCTATCTGTCTATCTGACTGTCTATCTATATTATATCTATATTTATATCTATATCTATATATCTACTATATTTATCTTTATCTATGTATCGTATCTATGGGTCTGTCTATCTACCTATCTGTTTGTATGTATGTATATTTCTATATCTATATACATGTACATGCAATTATGTATATCATATACTTGATATATCCAATGTCCTCCATGTTTGGTATATGTTTACTGACTTATACCCCAAACATGATCCACATGTATGTATATAAATACAATGTATTAAAACATGAAACATATGGATATCTTTTACATACGTTCCAATAGTCAAACATAATTTGGGAGATCCCCTTTTTGAATGGGCAATGAATTTGGAACATAACCTATTTTCATGTAGGATTTTCCAGCAAACCATGTTTGTTTAATAGAGGGTACCCTCTGCAAATCAGATATGGCAATGGAAAATCCTATACAACATGAGTTTGTTTTAGTGAGAAAATCACATAAATGGTGAATTTTCCATTGCTACGTTTCATAACCGGAGGGGTTTACACAGGATTTCCAGTCATACACTCATACTCCAGTCACTCCAAGGTCGGTGTCGCCTTGAAGAGCAAGAAGAGTGAGGTCGGGCAGCGTAGGTTTCCAGAGGAAATGTCGAAACGTTTCTTATCCTGGACCAAGTAGCTACTAGATGCTGTTTCACCTCATTAATTTATTACTTTTACACCATTTGTTGGTTCTGGTTGGTGGTTTGGAACATTTATGTTCCATGTCATATATGGGATGTCATCCTTCCCATTGGCTTTCACTCCATAATTTTTCAAGATGGTTAAAATCACCAGTTGTTTTTTTGGGAGGCTTCAAGATGTGGTTACCCTCTGGTGAACTAACATAGCAATGGAAAATCACCATTCTTAATGGGAAAATCCACTATAAATAGCCATTGTCCATTGCTATGTTAGTTCACCAGAGGGTAGGATGAAGAAAAAAAACCAACTTCTGAGTTCTCAAATTCTGCTCCCTGGAGATCACGAGATGCCAATGATATTTTTGGTGGTGCCATGGGTTTCCAGCTGACCTGTCGCAAGAAGATATCTGTATAGAGCATATATAGATATAAAAATGATATAACTTTCCCAAGAAAAGGGTTGATGTCTGAAGTACCAATGTTGCCCTGTTGTTTTTCTCATGACAGGTGTGTAAAAATAAACGGTGGACAGCTGGTATCCCAGGACTCAGCATCGCCAGAATTTGGTTTTCACAACATAAGATGAGGGTTTTCTATCTGATTTAATGGTTTCAGCACTAAACATTGGAATTTTAATTATTGGATATTTTATATATAGATAGATAGATAGATAGATAGATAGATAGATAGATAGATAGATAGGTAAATTGTTGTATAACTACAAAATCTACAATATCTGTTGGATTTATGGTGGACATTGATCTACAGTTGAATGCGTACTGTAAACATGCAATGTGCCCGCTGCCAGATATATATGCTAGGAAAGAACTATTCAACTACAGACATGTCCACCAGTGCGTGTAGGCCCATCATATTCCAATTTTGGGTGCATTTATATGCATGTATCATCCAATTTACCCAGGAACCCAATTTTTTATTCGCCAGGAAACAAAAAAAAACATAGTTTCCGGTTAAGAGCTTTAACTTACCCACTGATCCATAGCAAGTCCAAGAAACCTATCATAAATCCAATATGAATCCCTATATGTTTCGTGGTTAAATCACATGTTTTACTCATCAAAATCACACAAGTGTTTTCTTGTTAAGTGTTTGCATTCCCCTTATTTTTGTTTTTTTAATCATTCATGATGTTTAGTCGTCGAGTCACAATTTTTCATCGTGTTTTTTTAAAGCGTGAAATTCCCCCCCCAGGGACGGTCATTTTTTAGGTCAAGGCGGATGCCTTCAAGTTCGGAGACTATGTGGATGACGAGCTGAAGCATTTGTGGACCGAGGCGATTTGCCATCGAAAAGATAGGGCCATAGATGGGCTTACTACCTATAGATAATTTACTATAGTATTGGAAACACAGTTGATTGGAAACCCTGGATATATATATATATATATTTATATAGTTATGTATATGTATATGTATGTATTATTAATTATTATTGTTATTTTTTGTTTTTTTAATTATCGTTATTACTATATTTGCTGTATGTATATAACCATCAACTCGGCTAACTCCCATTGAATCCCATTGAATTACAATGAAAAATCCGATGAAATTCATCACCATGAAATCAACTTAGCTAATCATTGGACACCACCTTGTATTGTGTTTTCTTATGTTCACCAACTTAGCGATTTACCTGGCACTGTAGAATAAACACCGTGCCAGACATCTTCCAAAGAGAAGTTCTTTCCCATGAAGTTGGCGGAACTGAAGGAGTCCGACCCGAGGGGTTCACCCTGAAAATTGTGATTTTTCATGGTCATTGAAGGGGGCTGTTTTTTGGGGGGGGATTCTTCATGGGTCATGGGATAAAAAGTTCGCTAGGCTGGTTATAAGATGTTACAAGTCCAATAACTTGAGTTTATGCTACCTAGCCTAGGCCAATGTCTATTACGGTGAACAGGGATCGTAAACCAACTCGTTGTGAGTTGGGGCGGAGACTAGGAAAGCTTGAGATGAAACCATTGGTCTTCCGAAGTTTTCCATATGTTGATTTACTGGAGGGTATGATGCTATCATACTTCCACTATTTCAACTTGATGGGGCGATGACCTTTACAGTCTGGAAAAATCTGCACTAAACCAAGTTTAGGATGATTGCCCTTATGTCAAGGTTCTCCACAATGGAAACCAAGTTGAGCAGGTTCAATGAAAGACAGTTTGTTGATGATTCCTTTCTGTTTTTTGGGGCTTACACTTGTTTTGAAATTATCATAATCCATGAACTGTGACGGGCACAAAAACCACTCATGATTTTGCAATCTTTCCCATGGGTTTCGACATTGCTCACCTCAGCCTGGTTGATGAATACCTTATGCGGTATGACATGTTATGAACCCCACTTGGCAAAAACAAGAATGATAAAACATGTTCATCCAACATTAACCAACAAGAGTGACATTGGAGAGGATCACACACCGCAAAATCATCACCCAGAGATTGCGTGGGATAATTATAGATGGGGTTTTAATCCCTCTCAACTCGTCAATCATCATTTATTGATACACCAATTCAAGTTTGTTAATCCACCAATCCATCTACCTTAATGGGATTCATCAACCCTACTACCAACACTACGTTTTTAGCTAACTTAATGTTTTATGAGTTATGAAACCACCTGAGTTTTCCTGTTAGTTATGATGGTCAAGCAACACTACGTTTTTAGCTTTTTCCTGGTGCCAAGGCCAAGGATTTCCTGATTTCCCAGGACCTCGAGGGCTTGGAACCTCCGAAGCTTCCGGCGATCCTAGCAGCGCGGAAGAAACCGGTGCTGCATCAGATGAAGCGCCTCGGTCCGCGAAGCGATTGTTGGGATCGGATGGACACGGGAACCGAGTACCCTCTGGTAAACATACAAAAAACGAACTGGAACATCACCATGCTATTAATGGGTAAATCCACTGTAAATGGCCATTTTCAATAGCAATGTAACAAATTACCAGAGGGTAAGTCTTATGTTTTTCCATCTATTTTGGGACACACATCCCCGGTATCTATTTCTATGGGCCATTTGAAAAATAGCAAACTGTTAGTTTACCAGAGGGTAGGTGAGTTGGTGCTTAAATGCCCATGGTCACCTGCAGGTGCCATGGACATGATGTCAGTAAATGGGCTCAAAGAAAAGCCTTGTAGTTGAGTTGCTGTTCAGAACTGTTGGTTGGTTAATTTTGTTAAAGATATGTTCAATGGGGGGTTGAGTGTAATCTTCTTAAAGTCGACATCGTTGATTAATTCTGATGATTCAACATGGTTGTCCAAAAATGTCCAGAGGAATCCCGAGGATACAGACCCCCAATATCCAATGAATGCTTATATAATGGGCCATGGGGATAATCTGGGGATATATGAAGTATTGGGTACTCCCCAAAAAATGATAAAATATGAATGTTTAATAGGCCATTAATAGGTATAATAACATACTGGGTATATACTGGGTACAATCTTGTTAAAATGGGGAAAAACATTCTGAATACATAAGAACTTCACGTCGTGACGTCACTGATTTCACTGGAATGGTAAAGGTTATGAGGTAAGTGTCCCAATTCAATGGCGGAGGTTTTCCATGGTATCAAAAAGATGCTGGTTGAATAGATGTGTAATAAGGGCCGTTTTTTTTCTACCTGGTTTAAACATATATATATATATATATTATAATTATACATATATATATATTATTAATATTATTATTAATAATAGTGTTATTATTAATTATTATCATTATTAATTATTAATTATTGATTATTTTTATTTGTTTATTATTATTATTATTAATACTATTATATATACAGTATATTGTTAATATATAACTTAATAATACATAATAATATCAATGATTATATAATTAATATGTTTATTGTTATTTTGATTTGTATTATTGTTATTATTTACGTGTATATATATATATATCAAATTATCATGAGCCAATCTGCGAATTTGTATGGTAACCAAACGTGCAAGACAGACCTTCCACGGCCAACAGACCGATGAAGGACAGGTCACAGGGGAGCCAACAGAGCTGATTTCTGATGAACAACATTGGCATGCGAACAGAGGACTATACTTCAGAAGCTGTTGAATAGGCCATCCAAATTCATCCAAAATACAATTCACTGTCCAAGCTGCCATCTTGTTGCAGCGTGCTATACCTTTGGTTTGGAAAGTGGTGCTGTGTTACTGGTGAGGTCGGTATACGATGCTTCTCGCGCCGCCGCGCGGAGCAATTTCTAAACGAATCGGGACGTCACTCTCCTTGGTTTTACGTGTTTTTGTTCACCCCTCAATAACAGCTTAACAACAACAAATAAGCACACTCAATATATTGTCGAGGTCTCCTAAAATGGGGTGGCCCTAAATCACCCATGTTTTCGGATTTTCCACCATCCAAACTTTGGTACCACTTGAAGATCCTATGGTCTCGCCCAGGTCAGAACTCATGTCCGCCATTTGGCAGGACTGAAATCTGAAGCGGAACAGCATCGTGCAGGGTTGAAGGTGTTGTTGGTTTGAAAGAAAAAATGGCTGTGAAGCGGCATCAACCTCTGAAAATCTTGGAGAATTGCTGTGACAGTTTTTGTTTGAAGATGTTCTTAGATTCGCTGACCGGAAAATGATGTACCCCAAATCTTCGGTACTTGTTCCTGTTTTTGTCCGTGCGTTCGCGGGTCAAGGTGCAATGTTTCTGGGACATGCCGAATCAGATTCATAATTAGTCACTCGATCGTGAAGAAGTGCCTTTTGGGTCTTTTCGTGGTTTACTTGATATGCAGATACCCATAGGATCCATGTATGTTATATATGGTAACATTTACCATCAATATACCCCAAATGTTAGCATATATACCATACATGGATCCTATGGGATGTGGAGGTGTCCTATAAATCGGGCCAACTTATCATCCATCCAAGTCGCCTACGATGGGAAAATCCTCACGGTTTTTGGGTATTCAGTTGCCTAAAAAAAGTGGCTGAATTCTACGATTTATGGTATAACGAACGAACGTATTCATGGGTTTTTAGATCTTCACATCACTGGGGGGCACCACCCTGTAGCCATATGTTAGGAAGTCTCCCCATTGCTTTAGGTTCCCCGTTCCCTGCTTGTTACTGCAGTTCCGATTCAAACCCCTTGGTCCAAGTACCTTGAATTAGCTGTTTGGTTGGAATCCCCGCCTTGCAGCCGGTCCACGCATATACATATGTATATATATATATATATTATATACAATATGTATATATGATTATTAAAACATGTTTTATATATACATATGTATATAGTTATTCCTATATTTATATATATATATATACATGGATACATGGATATGTATATAACCTGATATGTTTTTTTCCCCAGACTCAGTTGACTCATATAAAAGTGGGTAAAAGTACAAGAATTATGGGTTGATTATATAATATATTCTATGCATATTCTTTATCCGTGAGCTAAGGGCCAGAGGATATGTGTATATATATACACACATGTATCAGAGTATAAATATGTATATAATATATACATTGTATATAATTAAATCATACTGAAGTAGATAGAAGAAAGGAATTTTCAAAGACATGCGCTCGGATCGCAGGAGGAATTTAATTTCCAAGTCACAGAGGAGGACGGGGGAGCTGGGGTAAGGATTTGAGCCCAGAAAAATCATGGAAAACCATTGGAAAATGATGACTTCATAAAGATATGGATTTGTTTCTAGAGATTCTAGAGATGTAGAGCTGTTTTATGATAGCAAAGTTGGTAGATCCCATATATCTCATCTATAGTTCATAAGGCTCACACAAAACGAAGGTAAAACTGGGATCAGAAGCCTGGTGAGTCTCAGGGGGTCAAGTCATTGAGAGGCGGATGGGCCTGGAATTAGTTACTTGGCATTGTTGTTTCTTTTTAATAAACTGGAAAGTTTTAGTTGTTTAATTAGTTAATTAGTTAATTCCTTAGTTAATTAGTTAATTAACTAGTTAGTTCATTAGTTTGTTAATTAGTTGGCTAATTAGTTAATTGATTAGTTTGTTAATTAGTTGATTAACTAGTTAGTTAATTGGTCATTTAATAGGTAATTAACTAGTGAGTTAATTACTTCGTTAACTAATGAGTTAATTAGTTGGATACTTAGTTAATTAACTAGTTAGTTAATTAGTTAGTTAATTAGTTAGTTAATGAGTTAATTAACTAGTGAGTGAATTAGTTAGTTAATTAACTAGTTAGTTAATTAGCTAGTTAAATAGTTAAATAACTAGTTAGTTAGTTAGTTAGTTAATTAACTAATTAGTTAGTTACTTAGTTAATTAGATAGTTAATGTAGTTAATGGTTGGACTTAGTTTACTTCTTTATATTAACTTGAATGGTATGTATAGTTAATGTAGTTAATGGTTGGACTTAGTTCACTTCTTTATATCAACTTGAATGGGATGTATAGTTAACTATATATACATATAGAACATTATATAAGTGGAAGAATTCACTGGTCATGTTGTAAACCAAACATACCATGGATGGACACCGTTCGGAATCTATGGGCAATAACCATATCATATATATATAATACGTAGTTTCTTCCACTGAAATGGGAAGCCAGAAATGCAGAGTGCGAGATCTGGTTGATCATTATTTCCCCCAGCTAAAGTTGCCATAAAGAGCATTGAGAATGCATATATTTTTTTCTTAACGAACACATACGTATAATATTATAAGATAGTCATGGTTATCTAGATATCAGTTCCCAATACATCCCCATCATATGCCTATCATATCCGCATCATTTTTTTTAGCATAAAATTATAGATAATAATCCTGTCTTGTGTGTATAGATTTATTATTACATGTCTTGGTTATAAATGTATATATATATACAAATAATATCACCATGATATCCCATTAATATTACTATTTTGTTTTAAGGGCCATCGGCGTGGACGCATGTCGACGCGTCCGGGCTAAAATCCTGCAGGAGGTGGAGGAAAAACCACAGCTTCTCTTCGATAGGTGACACTGGCGGTAGATTCTATGGTCTATCATAGGTCAGTATATGTCTAACTAGATTCCGAAGTGTTTTCGGATGTCAATACCATCCTATCCTTAGAAAAAATAGCTTGTTTCTTTGCTAATTTGTTTTATGACGTAGTTTCTGTGGCTGGTGGGAAAAATCTTGGATGGACTCTGTCAGCCGGGGTCAGTATTTGGGATCCATTTTTCACATGGGGATTAACCCTGACTTTTTTCGAGCAGCAAACGAGTCATATGTTCTTTGGCTGGATTCACATAGCCATTTTTTTTCTTATGGTTTCAGTGTTTCCTTTTAGCATCTTGTCAATGCCTGAGGATGTGACTATAGAATGCCCAATTACACGGTGACAATGTGATTGTATTCCCAGTGAATGAGGGTTGATGTTTTTTTTCTTAGCCTCCGGCTATTGGCGGCAGTCAAAGATCCGTGTTTAATAAATCACAAACAAGATACTTATTTAAATCAAACAAATCACACACACAAAGACACACAAATCATTGCTGATTGCATATTAGTTTCCGACAGGTTAGACTACCAAATAGGCTACTGAATACCGAGCATGACGCTAAACTCATACAAGTGTTTTGTTTGAGTCCCGGAAATCTTTCCGAGAAGCCGGGCCAACAAAAATAAGATCCCAGAAGCCCCAAATCATCCAGAGTCATTAGACCATTTCCGGGACTCAATGAGTATTGAAGCCCATGGTTATATCGGATGCCCCATTTTAAGAACCTTCCATCTGCATGGGCCTTGCTGGGATGGATTGTTGCAATATTTTGGAGTGAACAGCAGCTTATGGATGTTGAACCGGTGAATCCCGTATGGATACCAAAATCATTGTGTACCTCTAAATTTGTTAAATTTACCATGGAATTGACCAAGAATGACCACAAAGACACGGCTTTCTGGACCTTCCCATTCACAAACTGAGCCTGCCATGGCTTCCACTGGCTTCGGGTTGACTCCCTCCAGGTATCAGTGGAAGGAGGAAGTCCGCATCGACGCTGTCCTCGAGGCACAGCACATCGAAAGGAGCGCAGCACAAAAGGCTTGGGACGAAAAGATGAGGCTCGGGCCGCGGAAAGCCCTGGATGGGGTCAAGTTCCGACCGGGAAGAAACATCCAACCAGCTATAACTTAGGCTTACTGTATACGGTATCAGGGTTTTGACTCACAAAAATAAGGTGTTTGAAACTTGGGGTATCCCTCAATTCATGGCCATGTGAATGGGGACAACTAATTCAATGGATGATTAATCTTTTTCTTTGGGAAGGGGTAATTGCCACGTTTTCAGACAAAACATATATATGACTCCTATTGAAATATGGGTATCCCGGTATCCCATAAATCATTTATTCTACCCTCTGGTAAACTAACATAACTATGGAAAATCACCATTTTGAGTAGGTAAATCAACTATAAATGGCCATTTTCAATAGCTAACTGTTAGTCATCACCAGAGGGTAATTAGATTTTCCATCATAAACCGTCCAGCTTCGTGCCCTAAAGGCTTGGACATCTCAGACCCTTGGACAGAATTGATGGATTGACGTTTTCTTTTGTGACTGGGATGATGCTTTCTTTTTGACCATCATTGGACCATCCCCTTAAATAAATGTCAAAGAATCAGAGTAGTACAAGAGATGCATATTGATGATTATTGAATATCAAATTCTAATTTGCTATAATTATTGGATGATTACGAAATATTATGAACTTATTACCATGGTGATTTGATGCCACAATTTCTGGAACCGGCCTTCAACTGTTGCCACAGGTTGAGAGGCAAGATCACTGACAAGGCCAGGAAAAGATCGGCCATGTGGAGAAAAAAAAGGGAAATCCTCTCCTCAAAAGGGATATGTTTTGCTGGAAGATATTGAAAGATACCATGAGATAAACTCCATGGATATAAAACACATGTTTAAATCCTGGTTGGTGCTTTCAAACATGTTTATTTTCCATATATGGGATGTCATCCTTCCCATTGACGAACTCCATCATTTTTCAAGATGTCCAATTTTCAGACAATTTCCTGAGCAAAACACACCAAGTGGATGTTCCATGCGAATGGTCCAAGGAGTCCAAGGCCGATTTCAAAGACAGTGCAGAATGGAGACATCTCTTAAGAACTGACCTGCTATTTCAATCTATTTCAGCTGTTGATGTCTCCATGTTGGCTTCAGGATGCTTTAGGTCTTTGGGCTATTTTGGGGTATCAAAGTTGACAACTCTTCCGCCACCTGCGATCACGCGCTCGAATTGAGCTTCACAGTTCCACCCTTTTCAACGTGGGAAATTGGGTCAAAACATGTCAAAACCATGGTACATTAATGCTACCCAAATGGTGCCTAACCAAATAGTTGCTTTACCGGTTATTCTCCCAAAACTTATGGTCATAAGTCATCATAGGTCATAAGAGTTTTTGACCCATCCCTAAATTTTAAATGGAAACATATGGAAACTGAACATCTTCGCCCGACTGCAGGGGAAATTCTGGATATTTTTGGGTACTTCCCCAGTGACTCCAGCGCTCCCAAAGATTCATGGTGATTTTCATCAATTTCCCTGGTAAAATCCATAGAAATTGGCGATTTTCCATGTATCCAGAATAAACATGGTGATTTCCCATGTGAAATCCATCATTCCATTGACGTTCTTGTCAGTTTGATCCATAGGACCGAGAGTGGCAAAGAAAGAAGGAAGATGAGAGACGTCAAAGGGTGCCCACCAGGGTGAGAATATGGTGTGAAAGTTACCCTCTGGTAATGACTAACAGTTGGCTATTGAAAATTGCCATTTATAGTTGATTTACCTACAAAAAATTGTGATTTTCCATAGTTATGTTAGTTTACCAGAGGGTAACACTTGCTTTATGATCTTTATGGGGGTGCCATGGATGTTTAGGTGGGGTGCCACAAAGGAATTTGCGTGGGGTCCACAACGCCACAAGCATGGCAACTACCATTCCCAAATAGGAAAACACAAATAAACACATGGGATATACATATATATATATATAACTCAGCTCATGTAAGTAAGGCCGCAATCTCATATGCAAGAACTTGATAGAACTTGTGGATGGTGTCGGTATTGTGGCTCACCACTATTCACCACTGGTGTCTAAATGATAGCAGGAGAGATCAGTTCCAAAGACTTGTGGCCATGAAGAACCTCAGACAGATGTAGCTCCAAGATGTTACAGGCAAGTAGATGTTCTAGGTTCGACAATGTTCGAAGATATCAGATAGTTAAGATACGGAAAAGACAACAACAAACATGAGACACATTAAACACATTTCTAGAAACAAATGAACAGCATATCTAGACATGCCATGTTTGGTCCCATCCAACCCTTGGCTATCAATCGAGTGCAGATTTTTGCCAGTCCAACCCGGTTGCCAGCCATTTGTCTACTTCATGGAAGATCACCGAGAAAAGCCATCATGAAACTCGATTGATTAGGAAATGTTGCTTAAATGTGTTTTTTCCATGTCCATCACTAGCCTATAATTTTGATTTACTGCACCATGTAATTTGATGTGTTTTCATGGGTATTGAACCATGTCTTTGTCAACTAGTTGTCAACAATATTTAAAGTCAAATCATATCCTTCTCCATGTATTTTTCTGATTCATCAACATTCAGCCCAAACATGACCCAGCTTTACATATATCCATCAAGGCAGGCTTGGTTTGGGTGCTGAGGCGCTGAGGCATTTGCACGGCTACGCCAAGTCATTGACAGGCACGGCTACGTGGGATTTGCACGATAACCTGGGTAAAGCATGGTCAATATTGATCAATAACCATGCTTTAGCCAGGGTTTAGTAAACATATTGATGAATATTTACCACTGGTAAACCAGGTTTACCCTCTTATGTTGGTTGGTTGTGTTTAATTCACGAATCACCTCTTTGGTAAGCTGTTTGTTTAGTAATCATCTCTGAGGATCCAACTTAAAAATCTCGTCCACCTATTGTCAAAGCCCATGGTCCCAATGGAATGTGGAATTTCCCAACCAAAAACCTTGGTTTCAAAGGGATGAATTACCTTCTCAGGAAGTATTTGGATCCATAAGTTATGGCCCTACTTGTCCAGCAATGGCCGCATTGTTCATGATAAGCCGGCCCATAACCCCGTTGATTAAGTGGTAAAGGGCTTTACCCTCTGGTAAACATACAAAAAACTATATGGAAAATCACCATTTCTAATGGGAAAATCAACTATTTCTATGGCCATGTTCAATAGTTATGTTAGTTTACCAGAGGGCATTTAGAATAGATGATTTATGGGATACCCATATTTCAGGAAACCATGAAATATACGAGTCAATAGGAGTCAATAGGAAGGTTTTTCTGTAGAAAAGACGACCGCTGTTCGTTCGCACCCCAATGTTGGATCGACTGAAAATTTGCCCTTCGAATTTTCAGTGGAACTGCACTGGACCTGACAATGAATAACAAGAAACTACTTTGGAACATTAATAGTGGTGATAGTGGTTAATAGTGGTTAATAGGCTATATATCAACAACAATGGGAATATGATTGTGATCTGCTTGGTGGTTTGGAACATCTATGACGTTCCATTCAGTTTCGAAGAATCATCACAACTGACGAACTCCATCATTTTTGAGAGGGGTAGGTATACCACCAACCTAGGCCAATCTTACATAGATACTTTAGTCCTTTAGTCTTTTGGTATTAATGGGATTATCTACTAATCAGCAAAAAACCTAGTTTTTTGCAGGGTATGTAAGATTGGCAATGCAACTAGGTATGATCTTCAAACTCAAAAAAGTTTCCACTGGTTGAAGTCAGATACATCAATTCAGATAGTCTTGCAGGAAAGACATGGAGTTTTGTTACCTCAACATCCCTTAATTCCTTAATGTTGCAGTTGTTTTTCCAATGTGTCTTGAACATTGGAGTCTGTCTGTCTGAAACTAGGGCACCCCAAAACTTGGTGATTAATCCCTATTACTCCATATATTTCCCACATTTGATTGTTATTTGCTTATTTCACGTGATATGTTTTTTGGGGAACTCCAAGCATCATCTTGGCATGGCCCCATTGTCAAACATTGAATCACCAGAAATCCCCGGAAAAAACCGAGGATCCGATGCGCTGCATCATCCCATCATCAAAGTGAAGAGTGAGATGGCCCCGGAGGAGGCCTCGGACGGATCTTGAAGTTTCTTTTTGTTTGAGCGTTGAGATTTCAGATGTATATTATATATACATATAGCTACATACATATACATCACTATATTATGTTATCTACACTCTTATTTATCTACACTCTTATTCTAAGAACGATTTCCAGGCGTGGTGAACGTCGCTGTGTGCTCGAAATTCATTCGACCTACGTGGGATGAGCCTCTAAGTTTTTCAGGGACCGGGACGGAGGTGTTGGTAAAGCCATAAAGCCATAAAGCCACCATCCCCATCCTTTGTCTAGTCTTTGGTGATGAATATGTCGGATATCACCTACCGAAAAATGAGAGGCTTGTTGGAGACACTAGTTCTTCAATGGTAGGATGAATCTTGGGATTAGGACATTGTGGGAAATCACTGCATCACAAGCCATCCACGACGGACAAAGCCAAGGGGAAGGTCGTCCAGATTGAGCATCATCACTGCATAGGTCCCCATTCAATTTCACAACCCCCGATACCCTATGTTGTTGGTTGTGTATATCCCTATACAAAGCCCCATGGTTCTTTATTCATATCCCATCAGACATTCCAAGTGACTAATGACTAATGACCAATGACCAATGACTAATGACTACGACGACGACGACGAACTACTACTACTACTACTACTACTACTACTACTACTACTACTCCTGCTACTACTACTACTACTACTATCTAAAACTTATCCCAGTATATCCTGCAGTATTCGGACACAGCTAAATCTAAATCCCATGAAATCAGACACATCCGTTATAAGAAGTCGTAAGACTATTTTCCCCCAGATGTCTCTCGGTCTGGGTCCTGCCAGTTGCAACCCCGAGAAGAGAAGATCAGCAAAAAGCAGCAGGCGCCGCTTCTGGTGGTGGATAGGTCGGGATAGGTTGAGATAGGTCGATCAAATTAGTGTAGCACTGTAATACTTGTTTTGTTTCTATGGATTTGTTTTTGTTCAGTTGGATGGATGAAAGTAAAGTAACTTATGACTTGGGGACTCCTTTCCTGCGAAGTGAATAGAGAGAGTTTACAGATAGAGCCTCGACGAACAGGCCATGAGCTGGGGGTTGGAAGACTACTTTTTGGAATATCTCAGGTTTTGGAGATGACCACCGGGTTGCTATGGGGATGACCCTAGGCTGCTTGAATGAAGCAGTGATCTAAGGCCATCTGTGTTGTTTTATTTTCAGTAAATTAACATAACTAAACTATGGAAGCCATGGACTATAGATAGATGATGATATAATATTGACCTTTTAGAAATGGTGTTTTTCCGAAGCAAACTGTTAGATTACCAGAAGGTGTGGCAGAAGAACGTCCTTGTTTCAAACCCGCCGTTTGGAAACCCGGCATTTTGCTGCGCAGGAGATCATTGACAAGAACAATGCCAAAAAAGAAGAGGAAAAACAGGCCCTTTCGGAGAACTGTGATGAAATCGGTGGCGCCCCCGTCGGTGCGTCGGGGCCCCCGTGATGCGAGTAGGATGTTAAAATCATATGTTGGGGATTTATATAGCCAGCAAATATATGACTTGACATGATTTAACTATGCTAAACATAACAATAGATATGTTGATTCTACCACTGACACTGACAGTGGGGATTGAACTTGGATTTAACATCGGTCGGTAAGTTTGTAACAGAACTCTTAGGAGTTTCCTAAAATGGAGATACCACGGTACCAGCAAAACCTAGGTTTCAATACGAAAATGATCTAATTCTGGATGATTTCATATACCCCCTATTTTATCCATGGGAATTTCAGGATCCTAAATTGGAGGTACGTTAGTACCATATAAGGCCATATTTTGTGGGGATATTCCCTTACATAGGCCTTATATATAGTAGGTACCTCCAATTTAGGTTCCTGAGATGGCCAGTGATTTTAGGAAACCTCCATATGTTGAAGATTCATCTGCAGTTAAATTGGTGAATACAGACTACGAATTTCAAATTTACATCAAAGTTCCACATTGTAGTGGTTGTGGGTGAACGGCTGGGCCCCCAAAAAAACGACCCAGGCCAAATCCTAACTTAAAACCCGATTTATTTATTTATATATATACGTATACTATGGATTTTACATATTATAGATTGGTTTAAAATTAAACTAATATCAGTTTATCTAATGTTTATTATATATATACACATATGTTAATGATGTATATATACATATATTGTATAGTTAAACTATTATATTCCTCTGGGTCCAAGTATCTTCTGAGTATTTGGGCTATCATTTGAGGGATTAATTAGTTTCTCAACTTCTCGGGGAAATACAGCCCTTGGATCCATCCTGAATATATTTTGGTTTCAACCCTGTTGGGAATGATGATCTTTTGCATTTTTGGGCTTCAAACAGTTCAAACCACCCAATTGACCTTCACAGATGGGTGACCAAACACTGTACTTAATACCAAATCTGTGAAAGTTAATATTACAGTGTTGATATTGGGATAGTTGATATACCCATGGATATTACAGTGTTGATATACCCATGGATAGTGTGTGTAATATCAACTATACCAATTGATATACCAAATAGTGTACAATTGGTATAGTTGATATTACCCTGTTTGGGATGATGATCCCAATTGACTTTCACATTTCTTTCGGGTGAACCAACACTCAGATATTGTACTTGTTATATCATATCCGCTATTTATTATAAACATCTAGTCTATAAACCATATATAACACCCTGGTTACCGGTTTAACAGTTAAGCCACAATATATCCATAATCTGTATTATTCAGTGAACATCAGATTGTGCTTGATATGGTGGTTTGTAATTAGTGCATCTCTGTTCACTAGATTCTACTACAAATGAACTGAAAGTCCACTTCTGCTGGCGCATGTGCTGCAAGGCTGCAGATGATAAACAAGAGAGAGAGTGGGACAAGTCTGTGGAAGCGTTGTCGCAGGCTCGATGCTCATGGGATTTCAGCAGCCCAAACATAGGGATTTCGCTGGTTTTAGCACTGAATTAGGGATTTGGCTTTGGCTGAAACTAGCGGAGTCTAGCTCGAAGTGATCTCATTTTCAATGTATGTCAAGAGGGAGAATGATGACAACGACTATCAATTGGGTGTTTCACTCAATGCTGAGGTACCCTGAAAGAACCAGGTGGATAAATTCCGGGATTGTTTGGTTCCTATTGAAACTGCTTCCTCAGGCGGCTAAAACTAAGCTGTCCCATCTCTTGATTCTTTTGAACCCCAGGTTGCCAAAAAGGAGGTTTTTAAACTTGGGGATGGTGGATCCTATTGCTTTTAGTGAAAGTTATGGTTGCCCACCTGCATGAATCGTGTTATCCGCATCCATTTCGGTTTCACCAACAATAATATATATATATATATATTATGTAATTATATGTACATATATTGATATATATATATATTAATGTATATATATATGGGATTTGGGATAATCAAATCAGATACTTCAACACAAAATGTACATTGACACTGTGACTAGTTGGGTTTGACTTTGAATTGCACATGATCGACCTGACGATCGTGGATCGCCGTGGATCGCCATCTCGCGGAATGGGGAACTACGTAAAAACCATACCAAAAACAGGTTTATAACCTTGGAATTTATATGGGTGTGTCTGAAAATAGTGTACCCCTAAACCCAATGGTTAATGATCATTATCCCTATTAAATGGCTATAATTGGGAATATACCCTATTTTCAGACAAACCCATATGGATTTATTGATCAAAAATCACACTCTGTCCTGAAATCAGGCCTAAATCGGATCCACCCATGAAGCATCAAGACTTTTATGTTGAGACTTCATCCGGCGGCTTGACCAAATTCATCGAAATTCATGGTAGGTTCATACAGGGTGGTGCCGCGGATCGGATCGCTTACTAAGTTGGTGAACATAACTCCAATTTGTGTTGGGTGGGGGGTGATATAGACTATAGTCAATGAAGATGATAAGCCAACAAACATAACTGGGGTTTACCATCCCATTGATCAGCCTTTGAGGGCTACAATTAATCCCTTAAATTGGGGTATACGGGTATACCTAGTAGACCTCAATTGAGGATGGTTTTTTCTTTGTCTGTTATATATTTACCACATGAATTGGATTTGCTGAAGATTCCTGATTTTCCCAAAGGGGCATCCACTTTCTTACTTCGGGGAATCTCTTTTTTGTTTTCGTGGTGGATCAGCAACTCCAAGAGTACCAAAATCCCATGACCTCCCAGTAAAGTTCATGAAATCCCTACTATTCATGGTTACCCTCCAGTAAATTAACATAGACCCTGGTAGATAGGGGTTGGAAGATTAGTTTCCTCTAAAAAATGGTGATTTTCAGGGTCTATGTTAATTTACCAGAGGGTAAATCAGCAGATAAATCCCAGTCATCCGTAGTCACCACGTGATGTCCAGGATGGCAAAGACCCAGCGAAGCTGGAGAAGGAGGGGGCAGTGGTGAATAGACATATCGTCTATAGTGATATGGCTGGAATATCATGGAATGAATCTATACATGGAAACATATTATGATATATTATGATATATTTTGTATATGTATAATATATACAATAGTATATATACACAATTATGTATTCTCGTACAATATTATATAATTATATATGTATAACTTATAAGATAATGGTAAAACGGACCAATGGACTTGGTGAGAAGGTGAGACCCCCCCGAGTTATGTTGGTTATGAATCCCATCAACGATAATTAGTACTAGATCTGGACATAATGTAGGCAACCCAATGCCAGAAAGCTACCATGACTGGGGATGGTTTGAATTCCATCTGGTTGGTGGTTTCATTTTTTTTTTATTTTCCATTATATATATAGGATAATCCTTCCCATTGACTAATATGTTTCAAGATGGTTAACATCACCAACCAGCCAAAAAAAATAGGTGATGACTTGGGGATGGCTCCATTTCGTGAAAATGACATCAATGTCTAGATGTACTGGAATATACCACGTGGAAGTATCATGGAAATATTTCGACCATTTTACAAAACAGAGGGCCCCACCTTGGATCAACATCTCCTTTGAACGTCGATGTTCTTTTTTATTTTTGGAAAACAAAAAGGTGTTTTTTTTCCATGTGACCATCTTGACCTGGGTAGATTGACAAAAGACATTCCCAGGTTTCCGAGTTGAGATTCGTAGCATATTCCGTAGCGAGATTCGTAACCACTTGCTTAGTCGGACGGAATTGTTGTGTGCTTGAGGAGGGGAAATGTTTCTCATGTGTTCTGCCAGCCAAGATACAATGGCTGAAACCCCGGACACACCAGAAATCTTCGAAAGAACGGACCGGTCCGTTAGTCCGTTGATTGGACTCTATCCATGTTTACCCTCTGGCATTCAGTCATGTCGATGCTAACATCTCATATAAGATAAACAGCAAAAATTCAATATAGTTCATGTTCAAAGGAAGTCTAGGGGGAGAAACTTCCGTGTTACGGACTTTTAGAATGTCAGGGAAAGAGTTAGTCAAAGAAAGAGTTAGTCAAAGAAAGAGTTAGTCAAAGAAACAGTTAGTCAGGGAAAGAGTTAGTCAAAGAAAGAGTTAGTCAAAGAAAGAGTTAGTCAAAGAAAGAGTTAGTCAAAGAAACAGTAAGTCAAAGAAAGAGTTAGTCAAAGAAAGAGTTAGTCAAAGAAAGAGTTAGTCAAAGAAACAGTTAGTCAAAGAAACAGTTAGTCAGGGAAAGAGTTAGTCAAAGAAACAGTTAGTCAAAGAAACAGTTAGTCAAAGAAACAGTTAGTCAAAGAAAGAGTTAGTCAAAGAAACAGTTAGTCAAAGAAAGAGTTAGTCAAAGAAAGAGTTAGTGAGGGAAAGAGTTAGTCAGGGCATTGTGATTTGCAACTGTAGGATCGTTCCCGCAATGTAAATGGGATTGCAAGTGGTGCTGGTGGAGGAGTTGCCGATGGAGTTTTGGAGGAAGTCTCGCACGAAATGCGTTTTTGAGAGATAGCAGATGCACAAAACCCTATGTTTTTCCATACAAAGTCCGTCCCCGAACCTCGATGATCTACCTCTGCGGTGCGACGGGTGCGAGACGGTCTCGTGTGTGGTCGGATCATGCTCGGATCATGGGCGGATCATGCTCGGATCGGTTCCGCATTGTAAATGGGTTTCACCTGTTTTTCGTGCATGTGCGGTCGACAGAATTCCATTGTGATTTGCAACTGTAGGATCGTTCCCGCAATGTAAATGGGATTGCAAGTGGTGCTGGTGGATGAGTTGCCGATGGAGTTTTGAAGGAAGTCTCGCACGAAATGCGTTTTTGAGAGATAGCAGATGCACGAAACCCTATGTTTTTCCATACAAAGTGCGTCCCCGAACCTCGATGATCTACCTCTGCGGTGCGACGGGTGCGAGACGGTCTCGTGTGTGGTCGGATCATGGTCGGATATTCTCGGATCATGTTCGGATCGGTTCCGCATTGTAAATGGGGTTTCACCTGTGTTTCGTGCAT